AGGCAAGAAAGAGAGAGAGCAGAGAAGGAAGGCGCGAGAGGGAAAAATCAGATACAAATTAGAAGTAAAAGAAACAATCTCAGTTAAGATGGATCAATAAATATCAATTATGTCGATAAACTTGAATGGACTGGACGCACTAGAAAAAAAAGAGCCCAAAACAAGGGGGTCATGATTGGTGAAATCAAATCAGGATGATAGCTGGCATATAGACTGTAGAATGATAGAGAAAAAAGGAAATGATATGGGGGAAAAATGGACTTGTGGAAATAACACCCTCAGGAAAACATAAACTGGATTTGAAAGAGACGCCTATAACAATAGAAAAAGAAAGGAAGGGAAGAAGGAAGGAAAGGAGGGAAGGAAGGAAGTAGGGAACAGAGGGACAAAGGAAAGGAAAGAAGTGGAGGGTGGAAGAGAGAGAGAGAGAGAGAGAAGGAGAGATAGTAAGAGAGGAAGAAGAAATGAGGAGAGGTAGGGGAAGAAGAAAGAAGTAAGGAGAGGTAGGTGGAAGGGAGAGAAAGAGAAGGAGAGGAGGGAAGAAGAGAGAAAAAGAGAAGGAGAGAGTGTAGGAAGCAGTTTACCATGCCCTTATAGAAAATATTTTTTTATTAGAGCCCACATTACAGGTTCTGTATTGCAGGTTACATTAGTTGGTTTCTTAAACTTAACCAATTACAGTTTCTGCTAAATTGTCTTATATGCTGAGAGAAGGCACAATTGTTTTCTTCCAGAAAATTCTTCCAAATCTTCCTGCATTAAACATTCTTCTGCTGTCCTAATTCTCATAGATATATAACATGTAATATCTATGGTGTGGATGCGGTGGCTCAGTGGCTAAGTTGCTGAGCTTGTCGATCAGAAAGGTTGGCAGTTCGGCGGGTCGAATCCCTAGCGCCACATAACGGAGTGAGCTCCCGTTACCTGTCCCAGCTTCTGTCAACCTAGCATGAAAGCATGTAAAAATGCAAGTAGAAAAAATAGGAACCACCTTTTGTGGGAAGGTAACAGTGTTCCATGCGCCTTTGGCGTTTAGTCATGCCGGCCACGGAGACGTCTTTGGACAGCGCAGGTCCTGAAGCTTTGAAATGGAGATGAGCAGCGCCCCCTAGAGTCGGGAACGACTAGCACATATGTGTGAAGGAAACCTAAACCTTTACCTTTACCTTATCTATGCTTTTTGATATTTTCTTTGAACTTAAAACTAGCCTCTCATATGTAATCACTACTTCTTCCAAGCACCAAACCTTCTAATGAAGCCAATAAAGATTTTTTTTTATGTCTACATTTTAGATTATTACCAGGAAGTGATCATTCAAATGTTGTGAAAAGGTGTTGAATTTCAGGCATTTCCAATGCATCAGAAACATGCTGCCAGACTATTGAGATAGCAGGTTGTGCTTCCGTTAAACATTGCCTGTTTTCCTTCATTTTGCAATTGTGCTTTGAAAAACAACATTGAAATTTAGCTTATTTAAGACATGTAAGTGCAAAGCTGCACATATCTACCCATGGAGGAAATAAAATCTCACTGAGTTCATTCATTCCCAGATAAGTGAATCCATAACTGCAAACTAAAAATATCACACGTGGAATCATTTATTTATGTAGTATATTTG